AAATCGGCAAATTTGTTTGAAGAACCAAATTAGCCAGAGATCAGTTATCAGGATTAGAAGATCTGGCATCTTTCAAATAATCTCGGATGCATTAAGCGAGGTACGAAGAACGGACCCCTGAGCTCCATCTCAAAAGTCAGAAATTTCAAGATAATATCGTTACATTCAGAAATTAATCTAGATTATTTTACTCTGAAGTATCCCTGAAAATGTCTGGACCAAAATCCGCTAAGAATAAGCTGTCTCAAGATGAGACGGTAACGAAAAAGAAAGGCAAAGATGGGCCGAATGAAGACTCACCGAACTCAAGATCAAGAGGAGAGGTTTGCCAAAAAGGTCAAATTGGCAGTAAGAGAGATAATGGAGGAGGTACTCTCTGGTAGAGCCCTGCACGGGCCTCAAATTTAGGCCCATTGTCCGACAGCTTATCAGAATTCTTAGTCCGAGTCAGTCTTTTTTTTTTTTTTCCTTCTCCCAAAACAGACAAACTCCGCAATTATTACAAATAACTGGAGGTCACCAGGTAATACTAATCCCGTGCAAATAGGGCTATAGAAAGTAACTGCAGATGCATATGAGCAGCTTCTCCTTCATGCTGTAAGCACTTTAATCTTAAAGGGGTCATCAGATGCAAAATACATTTATGTTCAAACAACATGTAAAAGTGAGTGTTGGTAATGTGTGTACACATCCACCACCCTATAATGATAAAAATCCACCCAGTGTTTTTTTTAATCCCAATAAATGATAACCCCTGTAGCAAATTAGCTCAATTAATTATAATTACAATTAATTATAATGTTACAATTATTCATATAAGCTGCCAGTAATTAATATTATCATCAACTAATCTGTTCGTCCAGCAAACATTCAGTGTAGTTTTATATCAACTCTAAGAAATGATATTTTCGTGGCCATAGAAAATAACCTTCTTATAGTATTAATGCATGTAGCTAGATCGGCTCGTGAACGGGACATAATTCACAAGTGCTGACGGAATCAGAAACTCATGTAATTTGTGCACAAGAGTTTTATTAACCAAACACTAACACCAACTAGTCTAACAAACAATCAAACATACACTCACACGTGCATACAAAGGGGAGCAAAGTGGATGAAAGAAATCACTAGAAGAACAGGGAATGAAGCTATGGAAAATGAGTCAGAACCACCGGAGTTAAAAACCATCAGTGCTGTTTTACAACAGGGTCTATAATTGATTCCAAACCTCTGTTTCGTTCAGTTAAACGTAGATGTTGATGGTTTGAAGGTTTGGTGGCGTTGTGATCACGTTCTTCCGGGTTGAAGAGTGATGAACTCCTAAGATGTTCCTCTGACTCAGTGGTGAATAATGGCGCTTTTCCACTGCGTGGTACATCTCAGTAAGGTACGGCACGGTTAGCGTTTCCACTGCAGTTCAGTACCGCTTTAGAGTGGGCGGGATTATTCACATGTCGTTGTAGTTGCGCCGCCTCTACTACCACGACTCCTAAAAAAACGTTTTCATTCCGCGTCGCCCCATCAAGCTCTCGCTGGATCCGCTCCTCTGCTATCAACGAGAGGAACGTCTGTACTTCCGCAACAGACAACAAAACTTTTTGGTTGTTAAAAAAAGGTGCGCTCGTTCAAAACAGTTGCGTTCGATCCTTCGCTGGCTGTGCTGATTTAAATCTAGCGGTTCTGTTGTGTTTGTGTCGCAAGTTCAGTGACGCAGGTAGTGACGATTCTCTCCGGCCAATCCGTGATCAGCAGAGTTTACACGTCACGTTTTGGTAAGGGTAGGGTTCACTTGGAACCCCAACCGAAGTGGTACTAAAAAAAGTACCAGGTACTGTACCCAGTGGAAAACCCCCCAAAAGTGAACCGTACCGAGCCGTACCATGCAGTGGAAAAACGCCATTAGAGAGTTTTCTCCCAGATGAAAAGTGAGAAAGAGCGAAGAGCTGAGAGAGAGAGAGGCCCAGCTGAAATCCAGGAATCGCTGGTGAATGTAAAGACAAGGCCGAAGCCTGGCACAACTTAAGGGGGTTCCAGAAGAGTTCTAGCTCACATCCTCATCTTCTCAGAATCTAACAGAACCGCAGACTGGGCGGCGGTTACTGATGTGAGGCCTTTTACGTTCTATGGAGGTCACACCTCTCGGGGGTCAAAGAGCCAATGGTGACTTGCACTTTTGGAAGGAAAGTTAACAACTCTTTGTCTTCGCAGCATGGTAATTTGCATATGTAACTGGATTGGCTGTTGATGCAAAACTACTAAAGATTCTTAGAACGCTAATATGTTGCCTATGTACCAACATATACACTCTCATTTAGATCATCAGAAAACAAATTCATAGATAGTAAATATGGTATAGGTACGAATATATGAACGAGTGGTTCTATCATAAGCATGCACAAAACAGTATACAATACAAAAGGCCATATACCAGAAGGTAGTAATCATACACAATGGCCTGCAGATATGCATGATAGGAAGGTCATAGAAAAATGTGTCTATGAATTAATGAAAGAAGTCATTTCCTATAGCAGTATGTGTCTGTTTTAGAGAGAATTGAGTAGGGGGGGAAGATTTTCTCTACATACTTTTAGGTACTTTTGAGGCGTCCTGGTTGCCATAGTAACCAGGGGCCTGGAGGTCGTTTCACAGACATATAGGCACCGAGTCTGGTGTTGGGCCAGGGGTCTGTGATTGTGTGTTAAATCTAATGAACAATTGTGTGTCTGATTGGTCCAAACTCTACACCCCTTTCTCAAATCAAGCGGATCTCAGATTCTTGGCTGTGTGACATCACACGTACCCAGGCCGCTCCCATGATTGTTGATTAACACTGACGTTTCAGCATTGACCTGCCCTGAATGAACTGTAAACAGTCCACCATTATTTCGACGCCTGAGCAGATGTAGACAAGAATGGCTCCTAAGCGATCGAGGTGTTCTGTTGTTGGATGTAATAATGAACATAGCAGTCATCATGTACTCCCGATATCTGAGCCACTGAAGACGCTGAGGATTACGTTTGTTTTTGAAGGGAATGCACCTCCCGATCTACCTAAATGCGTCTATGTTCGCGCAAATCATTCATGATCCATCCAGCCTCACCTACAGAAGAAATTAGTATGTTTTTTTATGAATCTTTGCAAATCGCCTTTCCTAATAACGTGCTAGCTAGCAAGTTTCAAGATGAATGCGGCTAAAGTTAAGATTCTCTCATGAGAACGGCTTGTCACTCCACGGAAGAGAGGGGCGGGGTGAGCAGAGCTTATTATCATTTAAAGTGACATGCAACGAAACGGGTCGCTGTGAACAGAGCTGTTTTTGACTGGTTAAAATTTCTCAATGGTACTGTAAAACACCATTTTTACCCTAAGTATGTTATAGACTTTTCATTAAGACCCTAAAGAATCGTATCAACTTGTGGAAAATGGGCATCCGATGACCCCTTTAAAATGTATCTTCAAAGCCACGAGCAATAGTTTAATTTCATGCTATACTGGTGTGAGAAAAAAACGTTTCCTCACTCTGTGCTATGCCGCTCCATTTGCTTCTCTGTGTGAAACTGCTTTAAAAGCCGAGTCATTTCTGTTATTAGAAGTGTATGAGTGATGATTCATCACACTTCGAGATCGCACATATTGCTTGTGCTTTTCTCCTTGCATGTTCGGTTTCACAGCCTTCTTATGGAACGGTATAGCACACTTTCAAATCTTTTTTGAAAATGTTCTGCTACTGGTGTTAACAAATCCAAGAATTTAATATTTTCAGACCATTTCCTGTTAAGATTACTTCTTGTCCACCTAAATGCAATCTCTATATCTCTAGCGACTCAGTTTCCATGACAACCTCCAGCCAATCAAAAACAGGTTTTCCTTTTTAAGCATCTCCTATGTTTCTGCTTCAAAAATGTAAAAACCTGCAAAAGGTTTTTTAGGCTTTTCCCCACCATTTATAATATTAAAGACTGTTTTATGGTCTTATAGGGGGCATATGATGCGATTTCAAGTTTTCCTTTCTCTTTGGAGTGTTACAAGCTCTTGGTGCATAAAGAAGATCTGTAAAGTTGCAAAGACTAAAGTCTCAAATCCAAAGAGATATTCTTTATAAAAGTTAAGAGTTAACCACGTCCACCTAAAACGGCTCGTTCTAACACGCCCCCACATGTCTATGTCACTGTGTGGAAATATTAGCATAATGCGCCCAAATGTGCACGCAAAGAAAGAAGGCGTGGTTTCAGTAACAACAGTTAGTGTTGAAGCAGCATGTCAGGGAGACGCTGTGTGTTTCTAGGCGAAAGCAAAAGCGCTTTATTTGGCCTTCCGGAAGTAGATGCAATTAGGAATCATTGGTTAAGATTTATTTACAACAGAACAGCACAACCCAGATGTTCGAATTTGTGCAACGCATTTTATGGACGACAGTTTTGTGAACCTAGAAGAGTACAAGGCTGGCTGTGCACAAAGGCTATATCTAAAAATAAAAATTAAAAAAAGGGTCAATTCCGACTTTGCTATGACAATCTGGTGCTTCTGAATCAGCGACTGTAAGTATGTTTTGTTATTAGTTTAAGTATTTGCTATTGACTGTTCAAATGCTCACAGGAGAGTGAACGGTCTGTCAGAAATCATAGCACGTCAGCTGTGTTTACCGCGGCTTGTGTACTGCATCATCACTGTGAACTGATGGTAAAACTAATGACATTATTAACGGTCTTGATATTTACTTTGAAAGCCGACACTCGCGATTATGGTAAGGGGCGCTACATTTCCGACGAGTGCTTGCGGTGTTCGGCCAATCACAATGCACTGGGTCAGCTGGCCAATCAGAGCAGACTGCGCTTGTCGGAAGGAGGGGCTTTGTAGAAAACGAAGCGTTTGAGAGAGGCGGGGCATAGAGGACCTACAATAATGTACAGTATTTGAAAAATTATGTGTTTTTTGAACATTAAAGCATGTCAACATTGTTACACCAAATAATGATCTTTAAAATAGCATCATATGACCCCTTTAAAGTTGTTGAAAATGAATGACTTTTCATGGACCCAGGGGTCCAAACTTTCTCCAGAATGAGTGCACAAATTAATTTTGCCATTACCACCCTCAAAATGTCTTGCCAGGATGAGTTTACAAATAACTCTTCAGATATATAAAACTCGCACTGAAAATGCATGAAAAGACCTCTCTCTAGTGTGAACGGTCATAAAGGGTATTAAGTTTTTTTTTAATGTCCGAAACTCTTTTCGACACTGTTGGCAGGTGAAAAGCTCCTCTCAAGTGTGAGCTCTCATGTGAGCCTTGAGGTTTACTTTTTTTATAAAAGTCCTTCCACAGTCATAACACATAAAAGGCTTCTGTCCAATGTGAGTCATTATGTGCCTCTTAAGATGATTCCTGTCTGTGAATCTTGTTCCACACTGATGGCATATAAAACAGCTCTCTCTTAAATGGATCTTCATGTGCTTATTAAGGGTTTCTTTATGCGAGAAACATTTTCCACACTGATCACATGCGTAAGGCTTCTCTCCAGTGTGAACCCTCATGTGAGCCTTGAGTTTTCCTTTGTGAGTCACAGTTTTTCCACACAGTTTGCAGGCGTAAGGCTTCTCTCCAGTGTGAATTCTCATATGATTATAAAAGGTTGCTTTATGTGGGAAACTCTTTCCACACTGACCACATACAAATGGCTTCTCTCCGGTGTGAATTCTCATGTGAATCCTAAGACTATCAGTTCGTGGGAAGCTCTTTCCACACTGTTGGCAGGTGAAAGGCTTCTCTCCAGTGTGTATTCTCATGTGGACCTTAAGGTTTCCATTTTTACTAAAACTCTTTCCACACTGTTGGCAGATGAAATGTCTTCTAGTTCCAGTCTTCTGAGCTATTTTTTGAGAAGTCTTTTCAGTCTGTGAACAACTAAAAGATGTTTCTCCAGTTATGAAATCATGATGTTTCATATCTTTCTCTTCCATTTCATTCAGATCTCGACTCTCCTCTTTCACTGACACCATGTCTAAGGTGAAAAGACAAATACATGTTAACCAACATAAAGCAACATACATCACAACATTCAGACATTTGCTGACGTAGAACACGCATTCATCGTGGTGCTCTCAATAATGGCAGAAGACAGTAACTCTGGGCAGAAGAACTGTTGAATAAATTCATTATCTTTGTTTTCTGTGTGCACGAGAATTATTCTCGTAGCTTCATAACATTGAAGCCTGAAGATTACATTGTTCTAATGCTTGTGCACAAATGCAAGTTTAGGTCCTATCTATCTGACCACTACCACTTGTCTCTTCATTTCTATACAAAGTATGGAGTGCCAAATGGGCTCTGTATTAGGTCATCCGCTTTTCTCCTTAAGGGAGATTTTCATTCATTTTCACTGTTATGCTGATAATACTTAGTTTTATATTTCCTCTCAAACTGAAAACACTGCACAACTAGTTAGTGTGCAATACCATTTTTTGGGTTAATTGTAATCAACAATAAAAATCTCTGAAGATCTTGTGGACTCAGATCTATGTCATTACTTGTGCTGCACAAGAACCCATTACTGCTTGAACCCATGCAATGGCTTTGAATGAAACAAGCCTTATATCACTTGGAATCTGTTATTGAGCAGAATTACTATTTACATTTTGTCCTTACAAGTTTGTGTTATGCGCTGAAGGATCTGAGGATCCTCAAATGCAAACTGTGTTTTGCTTCAAGAGAGCAACCATATATTTACGTTGTGTTTTACTTTCTTGGTTTTATATTAATTAATGAATTCTTCATTCATTTATAATCATTTAACATTTAAACATTTATCAAAAACAAAGCATTTGTTGGCTGCGTACAAGCTGGTTTTGAAAGAAAAAGTAACTTCCTTGTTCAAAACGGCACTTCAGTATTTTTCAATTTAAAAGTCTTTACTGCTGACTGTCGCCATCTAATGGTGAAACAATATAACTAAAATCACCATCACCACACACACACACACACACTTTCATAATACTAAATTCTACTTTTACATAAATTATTTATTGAATAACAATATTTAATAAACAACAACAGTCATCATAAAAGTTGCTAGGCAATTCAGTCAAAAATACAAAGGGAGCGTCTGATATACAGCACTGAAGTTAAATAAACATGAAGAGATTTTGCCAAAACTTTTGCTCTGGAACAAATAGATTAATGAGAGCGAAGAATGCCTGTTAGATTTACCCAAAATGAAATACATCATGTTTAACCACTACATCAGAGCCAGCGGTAAATTCCAGAAGATCTGGCCGAGGTGAGGCTGCTCTGGCGGGTTCATGAGCGCTGAACGACCGCTGACGTCCTGGAGCTCACAACTCCGAAAACGTCGAAGCAAATTTTCAAACAGACGTTATCTTTCCAAACAAACCGCATATTTGAAGTCCAAATAAGTACATTCTCGCCTAAGAAGCTCTCAGAACTACATTTCGTGACAAAACAGTATTATTTTTTAAATTATAGTGCAGCGGTCGGGAACCTATGGCTCGCCAGATTTCTCACCTCTCTCTCAACAAATGATCTATTACAAAAAATAGACATCACTAGAGATCAGCAATTCCTTTGTTGTAGAGCCTACGTAAGCTGATAAAAGACTTAAAATAATTTAAAAAGATTTGTGTAAGTGCGCGTTCAGTGATGTTCGCGAGAGTCACAACAACAAATCACTGACGTTTCTATTGTAACGTAGAGCTAATAAACTCAGATTCGTAGCTTGTTTGTGGTAATAGTGAAAAGAAAGATTTTTTGAACAGCAGAAAAGTGTAAAAGTATGTAAAAAAAAAAAAGTGACAGGACTGAACCGTATACTTTGTTTTATTTATTTTATACTTTTGATACATTTCTCCGGTTACTTTCGCTTTTTCCACGCAGCTTTCAGCGGGTGGGACTGTTAGCGTTATTAATAAAGGAACGTGAATAAATGAGACAGTAAAGACAGGGACATTCTTGATATTAAAAAGATTTAAACAGTATTAAAAACTCAAAGCCGCGAAACAACTCAATCCGCTTCTGACTGGATGTTTTCTTGCCGCGAGGTCCGAGTGGAACCAAGCAGAAACCTTACGGTCTCTCTCTTGAAACCAACACGGAAGTGACTTAAACTGCAATTCATCGACTGGCCGCTAGAGGCTCTACAAGGGATTCAGTCCCATAGACTCACCATGTTAAAATGACCAACTTTACAGCAGAAAAAAATGTTTACAGCCTGATACAAAAAGTGGTTTTGGTCTGTATAGCTAATTTTGCCCTTCATGACAACTGTGAGGGGGGTGAATTTTTTTTATAACATCCATTTCAATTATATTAAGCCTTAAAGTTCTGCATAATTAAGGGCGTGGCCACTTGAGTGACAGGTGGATTGCCGCTGCTGTCACCACCGTCGAGCTAGGTGGGCGTGGTTTCAGCAACTAGCTCCACCCACATACCGCCTCTTTGCCCATTTCTGATTATCCGAGAGTGACGCGCTACCAAGATGGCGACGGCCAGCTCCTCCCACTTTAGGCTTTAAAAAGGCTCTTTAGAAACCTACGGGTGACGTCACGGACACTACGTCCATGTTTTTTTTACAGTCTATGAGTGGAACGCAGACAAGCATAGTAGACTTTGTCTTCGGTGGTGCGCCTAAAATGGTCAAAACACACAGAGTGTCAAAATGTCTGCACTGGTGAATATTCACATAAATACTGCCATAAGCACCGTGCATTATTTTTCACTCACTCAGTCTCTTACACACACACACACAGAGAGTGAGAGAGAGAGAGAGCGAGAGAACTCTGAAGAGAATTCATCCTCCTCAGGTTGTAAATCATCCTCACAGTAAAAGCCCTGCACAATTTTTGATGGTTTGTTGCATATTTTAGTTTCCATGGTCCTAATAAAGTTACTAAAACGTTACTGGAAAAAACAAAGTAAATAAAATAATGCATTAACCAAAAATAAAAAATTGGCTCTTTGGTCAAAAAAGGTTCCCAATCCCTGTTATAGTGGATTTGGGCTTCCGCCATGACACTCGCTGTGAACGGTGAAACGGCTGTTGGAGTTCTGTTGGACTCCAATATCAACACTCATCAGCCAATCAGATTCGAGGACCAGAAAGAACTGTTATATACATAACTATATCGCATATAATTATATACAACTCAGGGCTCTACATTAACGCTTGTCCGGGACAAGTGGATTTTGTGAAGGGGCAAGTGAAAGAGAATTTTACTTGCCCAACCAAACAAGTAACCGGATTAAAACATCAATAACAAACAATAACTAGGGCAGCACCGAAACTTTGAAAGTAATAAAATCAGAATCATTCTCACCAGTGTAAACGGTGACTGATAATGGATAATGTAATGACAGTATCAAGGTTGCGTCAGTTGAGGCTCATGCAAAGCTTTTTTTGCCCCGGACAAGTAACTTTTTTACTTGGCCAAGTGAATGACTGGTTTACTTGTCCGAAGAACAAGCACATGTCTAGGCTTAATGTCGAGCCCTGCAACTATAGCGCATCTATTTTCCTATTTTTAAACATGAGGTGCCATGTAAATTTATGGCACTTTTCCACTGAGTGGTACGACTCGGCTCGGTTTGTGTTTCCACTGCAGTTCAGTACCGCTTTAGGGTGGGCGGGATTATAGATATGTTGTTATAGTTGCGCCGCCTCTACTGGCGCGACTCCTGAAAAACGTTTTTATTCCGCGTCGCCCCATCAAGCTCTCGCTGGATCCGCTCCTCTGCTATCAACGAGAGGAACGTCTGTACTTCCTCAACAGACAACGAAACAAAAAGGTGCGCTCGTTCAAAACAGTTGCGTTCGGTCCTTCGCTGGCTGTGCTGATTTAAATCTAGCGGTTCTGTTGTGTTTGTGTCGCAAGTTCAGTGATGCTGGTAGTGACGATTCTCTCCGGCCAATCCGTGATCAGCAGAGTTTACACGTCACGTTTTGGTAACGGTACGGTTCACTTGGAACCTCAACCGAGGTGGTACTAAAAAAAGTACCAGGTACTGTACCCAGTGGAAAACCCCCCAAAAGTGAACCGTACCGAGCCGTACCATGCAGTGGAAAAGCGCCATTATTTTCACAGACGTCCACATGAGAAATAAATTGCCATCTGAATCAGGCTTTAGGGTAGCTAAAGTACTACAGTTACTTTTTAAAATAACTCCTCTATAATACAATTGTGTGTGGTGTCATTTGCATTATTCTAAATAAAATGTATTTGTCATTATGTGCACCTGATATATGATGTCGATTTTTTGGCTGATATGTTAAGCTGATTTTCTTTCTTTTTTTCCCCCTTCATCTCATAAAATAGAGTTTGAGTAAATATTTATTGCAGGTATAATATAGTAATAGTAGTAGTAGCCTAATTCATAGTAATAATACATGGCTCAAAACTTAAGCACCTTCTCAAAACAGTTCTGAAGTATGCTTTTTGTTTATGTTTGCTGACAGACACCAGTGTTTCTCACAGACTTGCAAATGCAAGTTCATTCTCTGCCAGCAGGAGGCGCTGTTGGAGCGGGAGATATAGCGGTTTCCCCGGTAACGGCTGTAATCTAATAAGTGCTGCGCTCACAAACGCTACTTTTTTCAGGAATTACAGGAAAGACTAAATGGAAATGACATCGAAGCTTTTCTGAAGACAGTCGGTTCTTTTCAAAGATACATTCATTTAAAAAAAAAAACCCGCGCTGCATTTTAATTTTGAAACGTGCAGGGGTCACCCTGCTAACACACGGCGTAACAGTTACATAATGTATTGGTACTTTTTGGTAATTTCATGACTTACCAATTGACAACGTAACTACGATGTGGCATGTCCGTAATTTCATTACCAACTCACAACGTTGTCAGTACGTCCTCTTAACGTTGTAAGATTACCAAGAATGCTCCAGATATGTAATATATTGGTAATTTCATGACTTACTGGCAACGTAACATGGACGTAATTTCATTAGCATAATTTAAAAGTTATTTATATGCTCTTATTACCAAAAAATTGCTATTTGAAATATGTAATTAGATGTAAGATTTAAATTTTAATGTGTTTATTTTCATCAAGTCAGAACATGGACGAGTGCTTTTAATAGTGACGAGACAAGTATAATGTTAACAGGAAATGAAAATTAGAGTCCGAGTCGTGAAACTTTTTATTTCGTAACGAGTTATGAAGATAACGTTGAAATAATAACACAGACCCGGCTACACCATCCCATCTCGACAGCACGTTTGCCCGAGGCACTTTTTTACTTCAACGGTGTCTGACAGAAGAATTAATTTTTCTGAGGCGAGTCTTACAAATTATAACAAATATATAGGTTCATAAAAATGTATAAAATAAAGTACTTGAACTCCGGAAAGACGCTAAAACCCCCCTTTTTATTGTTATGTATAGTACTGGTGGCCGTTGAGAGTTACCATGGGAACCGGGAACATAAGCTGCTGGAGAGGATGGCCCCTGACATTTTTCTCTCCGTTTCTCGTATATCAAAAAAGTTCAACAACTGCATCAGATTGGTTAAGTATCATTACCCACAGTCTACTTTAAGTACTTTTTGTTAATATTTATAACTCTCTGTTTATGGTATCTTTCCTTAATTATCTGAAATGTCTGCTAGCAAATGTTACGCTAGCAAAGCATATCGGTTTATTATGATGCTGAGCGCGCGGAACGTCCTGAATGCTTTCATTCATATTTCGCTGTATTTCCTATGGTTTTATTCATATTGTTAATATTTGTGCATTTTTAGAAATAAATGACCTGAATTCATTTTGTGTCTGTATTCATCATTCACAGCTGTCGAAACAGCCTTTAGATTAGTTTGGGCAATGAGGACATAATTTAGGTTAAAGGGATAGCACAGACAAATCCAAATTAAACCCTGCGGCTCGTGACGACACATTGATGTCCTAACACACGAAACGATCGGTTTGTGCCAGAAACCGAACAGTATTTATATCATATTTTACCTCTAATACACCACTATGTCCAACTGTCTTTGAGCGCACGCACGGCATCCGGTGCGTGAGGAGTGTACGCGCTCTGGCGTAGTTTATGTTAATGGCTGTGTTGATATTCAGCCGAAGAGCAATCAAGCATAACTTCAGCCGAGCAGGCTCAGAAGCTGGGAATACGTGGAAAGTCACCACTCCCGGATGAGCTCACGCGAGAGAACGTAATCTTTTAGTTTTAAGTCGGTTTGAACAATCCGGATAAGATTAAGTAAGTACCATTTTGATTAGCCGTCGTACCTACAATGACTGCACTGTGTAAACAATGAGTGACGTATACGCGCGAGAGATCACTTCCGGCGCTTGCGTAAACTCGTAAACTACGCCAGAGCGCGTACACACCTCACGCACCGGAAGCCGTGCGCACGCTCAAAGACAGTTGCACATAGTGGTGTATTAGAGGTAAAATATGATATAAAAACTGTCTGGTTTCTGGCACAAACCGATCGTTTCGTGTCTTAGGACATCAATGTGTCGTCACGAGCCGCAGGGTTTAATTTGGATTTGTCTGTGCATGTTTTTTTTACTCTCATAGATTGTGTTACCATTGCCATGCATTATACGACTGACAGACTGCAACGGTTAAAGTTAAAAATCATCAAATGTGTTCTACTGAAGAAACAAAGTTACCTATATATTGGATGCCCTGCGGGTAAGCAGATAAACATCACATTTTCATTCTTGGGTAAACTATCCCTTTAAACTACTGCATGTCCGCCCATAGAAATTAAATAATTATAAAAATTACCAACTGATTACCAGCACACAACTATTGATCCAAGCCGTTGCCACGACATCGCAGTTACTACCTGCGAAGTTACGTTCACTTTTCCAGTTGCCACTATGTAACTTTGGTCACCAGATTACGTTGCAGTTACGTATTATTGTTAGCTGGGCTTTATTCAACAAAGTATAAGCCTTTTGGAAAATCTATTTGTGGCGGTCGGTTTTGATATTGTGTCGAGCCGCCGCAAATAACTCAATGTATTGGAAACACTGGACACTGCTATAAGCCAAATGGCCAAGTGATCGCGGAGGGTAATTTGCAGAACAATCGGCTGATGCAGATTAATTAAAAAATGCCAAAAATCGGCCCGATTAATCGGTCGACCTCGACCTGGAAGAGTAATTCGCCGCGGGTTCCTTCAAGATTTTCCTAAGAGGTTTTATAATGGGTTTTTCAATTTATGAGTAAAATAAAGCCTGTGGTAAACATAACTTGACAATACTTTTACGTTTTGTTGTACTACGTAAATTACACATCCATACCCAAAATACGAATTCTGAAGCAGTTATGTTCATTTTTTAAAACATATGTTTTTAATAAGTAGCTAGATAGGAACGTTTGGGCTGTGAGTGTGTGCCGTTTACATTGTACAACAAAACGTAAAAGTATTATTTTTAAGTATTACCCCGAATATAAGACGATGTTTTTTTCTTGGAAATACATCTGCAAAAACACGGTCGTCTTATATTCAGGGTCTAGACTTTTACATGTCAATAATACACCCACAGCTATAGGTGGTGCCAAATACGCATAAAACCAGTGTGCCATGAAATACGTAATGTAATGCGTGTTGTAAAGATCACGAGTAAAAACTAAAGAAGCAGAAAAGCTTACAGCTGCATGAGTCGTGACTGTCACTAAACTCTCTTTGTGATTTTAAAACGCAAGACAGTACCCAGATTTGAAGACTACAGTAAGATTTAACTTCTACTGTTAATAAGATTTTGGTAGGCTACTATTAGATGGATAATTTAGATGGGCTACCTGTTTTTTATTTTAATGGTATTTCAAAAAGTGTATATTTTTTAAATGTGAATGTTGGTACATTTGACCAGTTTTTACCATACTTTCAAAACAAAAATGAAAATAGGAAAAATATGCAATATGAGAATAATTGAAGACGATGTCTTGAAATGTGTTTTACTGAGAAAAAACAAGATTTTGTTTTTAAAAAGCCTTTTTCCAAAAGGTGCATCTGAAAAAAGGGGGGTCGTCTTATAATCAGGGTCATCTTATATTCGGGCCAATACGGTATTATTATTGTTTTTTTTTTTCATAAATTGAAAACCCTCATAATAAAACCCCACAGGAAAGTCTCGAAGGACCCCGCGGCGAATTAGAGCCCCACTGTATTGTTATAAACTTAATGGCCATGTTATCCGTCCTCTAAAGCCCTTTAAATGAGGAACAAATCTAAGCAGCATGCAGTAACTATAGCAAGCTGTCTCAGCTGGAGAAATGTTTCATATTACTTTATATAAAATTGTCACTTTATATAAAATGTTTTAATACTGTTGCATAAGTGATAGAAATAACATCTTTGGATTTAATATCATACAAATAAAATGTTTAATTACTACACTCGCAAGATATTCTTAAAAAATATCATTCATTTCTGTAGATCTGGACATTTTAATAAACCAACCTGTTTGTTCCTCAGCATCTTCATGTTTGATTGTGTCTTCAATCTTCACGTCTTCACTCTCCTCTTTAATAACCTCCATCTTTATTACAGTGTGTCACGTGGATCTCAGTGAATCCAAGAGTTTGGATACTTTGTCCTGTTTAAGAAGAGAATAATTAACAGAATAAATGCAAGCTTCATCTCTGGGTGATTCTCAATCAGCTCCTTAGTTGCTCATGCGCTTTACTCTCACTAAATCACCTTCAGTAATGTCACTAGGTAAGGATAAGCACAGTTTTACATGCAATTCTCCAAATAAGTTGTATTGATTTAAACACTTAAAGATTAAAAGCACACAGCAGAACCACAGACGCAGCCTTATGACGTCATAACGCCACACCAAAATAAAAGTCTTGTCTACACTCCAAAATAATATACATTTTTCATTTCAAAACAAATATGATAATAAGGTATAGGATGAATTGAAGAGATGAAGCCAAATCTATCAGTACCGTTGAGCTTTATATCGACGTTTATATTAGGGCTGTCGAACTAATTAATCGCGATTAATCGCATCTAAAATAAAGTTTTTGTTTACATAATGTGTGTGTGTACTGTGTATATTTATTATGTATATATAAATACACACACATGCATATAAATATATTTAATATATCAATTTTAAATATATACATGATATAATTTATATGAATGTAAATATATACACGTGTAAATATTTTCAAAATATATGCTGTATGTGTGTTTTTATATATACATAATATATGTGTGTGTGTGTGTACTGTGTTTATTTATTATGTAAACAAATACTTTAATTTGGGATGCGAATAATCGCGATTAATCGTTTGACAGCACTACTTTATATCTAAATGTAAACAACTGTAAGTGCTTTCAATAGACCTTTATCACACTTCCTATATCCGGTAAGTGAAGCAATTAGGCTTGTTCGACTTCATGCGGCACCACAAAGATCGGCTGCCGCCTTACTAAAGCAACGCATTCTGGTTAGAACATTTGTCCGACTTTGATCGGCGCTGCAGCCGTTTTACTCCCCTGTTGTTTCTGATGCATCCAGTAGGGGGAGGAAGATATACGGCGAAGTAACCACTCAAATCAACGCACGAAACTTACACATTAATAAATGTTGACTAATTTTTTCCACCTTGTTTTGGTGAATTTAAATATAAACGCTACATCAACATAACAGATAGACAGTGTAATGATGCACTAATTATATTAAGTTAGATATGATAGATATTAGTTAGTTATAGATATATGATATTCACTGTTGGTATTCATACATAGCCTACAAAGGACAACTGAATTGAAAAATTAATAATACACATAGTTGGATCAGATGGACAATGTAATGATATGATTAACTGTAGCCTAGTTACCGTAGGTTTTCATATAGAGAGCTTGTGTGATATACATGTTGTTGGGAATTTATTTTAAAGTTACATTCAGATAATAACCAAATTGATCCCATCAGACATACAGTGTAATGATATGGACCAATGATGAGACATCTGTTGTAATCACTACTGGTTGTCATACAGCTACAGAACTTTATGAAGACAAACAATTCACCCCTTTCTAAAATTACAAGGCCATTTAGCCATCTGACAAGAAAGAGACGACTTTTGTGAACAACACTTTTTTATTAACACCATTTATTAATGACACCCATTGATGACCCTATCTTCTTTAAAGGGTTAGTTCACCAAAAAATGAAAATTAGCCTGTGTTTAACTCACCCTCAAAGCATCCTAGGTGTATGTGACTTTGGAATTATATTAAAAATTGTCTTGGCCCCTCCAAGCCTTTCAGTGGGGGTAAGCAGGTGTTGGTTGTCAACAGTTCAGAAGACGTGAAATAAAGTGCGTGCATCCGTAATAAAACGTCCCTCACACGGCTCCGGGGGTGAATAAAGGCCTCCTGTAGCGAATCCATGCATTTTTGTAAGATAAATATCCATATTTCAAACATAATAAACCATTTTTTCTCACTTCCGCTGACTGTGGTATGCAGAAGACGTTCAGGTGGATGACGCAAGACGCCGGCGTTTGCGCGATTAGTGGCGAACGCTGAAGACAGGTGAGAGTAAATTGCATCAGTTTGCTCTTGATCGTCGATGTACACTGGCACAGGCACTGTCTTGACAGAACACTTGGTCACATCTGCAGAGGTTACTGTGTTACTATCAATATGTCACACAATGAACTGCAATGGAAAATGTATTGTTACTTATGCATGGGTATGGATAAAGCAATTGCACTGTTACAGGGGCAACAGAGTCTGGCAATGGTAGCACATCCACTGTTGCCTCTGAACCACCAAGGTCTGTAAATCATGCAAAATTTGATTATTAGTTAATGACACATAATAAAAATCCAATATATAACAAAATAACATATATAGATGTCAATAAAATCAAGTACAGTGTGTATCAGAGTTTGATAAGAAATAATAGAGCTAAGGTCAATGAATGAGGTTGATATATAATATAATGATTATATAATAATGGGCCACAAGCAAATAAGGAAACATTACATTGTACCTCAGAATCCTTAGCAATAAAAGACTAAACAAGTGCTTGATCATCTGCGTTACTTACTGGTCACTTGGTGATCATCTGTGGCACCAGATTTAGTGGAGGTTTCTGAAATCTCTGAAGTAGCTTAAATGGAATTGAACACAAAGTATTGGTACATGGCGACATCTGTACACGTAATATTTTGAGCCAATTCTAAAGTAGTATGACTGTAATCCAAACATTACCAAGAACAGCCTTGCGGTTGATGTTCAGCACAACTTCTGTCCCAAAGACTCTTCTGAAGGCCTCTAGCCTTCTCAAATTCTTCTGACTGTTGTGGTGGTGTATGATACTTCTCATGAGGAAGACATGGGTTGATGGAAGGGTCATTTATAAGGTAGTTATTTTTATTTAATTTGCTAAAGAATTGCTCCACAACCTGGCTATTCACTTTACCAGCAAGTTGGGCCACGAGACCAATCTTGCGGAGGACATCCCGTTTGTCTTTTGAATTGTCCCATCCAAGCAGCTCCACCATCCTTTCAACAGAGCAATAGCATGTTCGACCACTGACTGTGTCCGACAATGTTTGTCGTTGTAGCGCCGTTCCTGCGCAGTCTGGGGTTCGTTTAGTGGAATGAGCAGCCAGGTTCTGAGGGGGTAACCACTGTCTCCTGAGAGGTACAACACTTAAAAGTATATTAAAACATTACGTGATTACACACAATGTCATGCACACTACTGTTTTACCAAGTAACCATCCATCCTGACCACATACTGTTTGTAGTCTATACTACTATTGGATAAAATGTAGGAATCATGAGTTGACCCAGGGCATCTCGCAACTGTCACGATCCGTTCCCTGCTCACCACCAGAGGTTGCCACACACGCCACTCAGACTTTCACCCTGGACTCCATTTCCCAAGATCCCCTATGATTACACCCTCACCTGTTTCCAATAACCCGGACACTATAAAGGTTGCACTCACTCACATACAGGTGCTCAGTATTGATTAGCCTAGCTGCCATACCAAGCGCTTCCTAGTATCCTGTTTCCTAGGCTGCGTCCAAAATCGCATACTGCTTAGTAGGTACTACATTTAAATTTGAACGTACTACTCGACCGTTAAAACAGTACGTTCTATATAGTATGAATGCGAGTAGTATGAATGGAATTCGGACATACTACATCCGCCATGTTGATGTTGTCACGTGACATGCGTCTTCACAACAGCGCCAAAATTTAAAGAGCCCTCACTACTGCGCGAACATCAGCAATGTTTTACGCAATTCTTACCGTTTTCATCAGCGTTTTAACGTTGATTGAATCAACAGCTCAGAGGAGGCGTCGGTCAGCTGCTCGCAGATCACGCCTTCATCGACAGCTTGTAAATTATTGATCAAATAAGGTAAGTACAATCACCTATTTAGCTACTAAATTTTACCTCAGAATAAAAAGTCATGTCTGTGAACACCATGCCAGAGGCTCATTTGGACCAACGAAATAAAGTAATTTATTGTTATAAATAAATGCATAAAAATACACAGGACAAACAAAAGACATGAATTAATGAATAAACTTGAATGAATACATAATACACAATTAGATAAATAGAGAGAGAGAGAGAGAGGGAGAGAATGAATACATACAATATATATACATAGCCTAAATAAATATTATAGATGGATACAATATATACATTAATAATATAAACATAAATAAATATACATATTCTAAAATATATATATATATACACACA